TCAAGGCCAAGGGTTCGTTGCAGGGCTGGGCCCTTGTGGCTGGTGAACGGTGGTTTCCCACTGGGTGGGCGGGTCCTCCTGTACGTGAACTCATGCCACAATCACAGTGTTAGCGTTTAAGGTGCCACAAGACTCCTGTTGCTTTGGCAGGAGCCACTTTGGGTTCTAGTGTGTCTGCAAACACCGTCAATTAAGAGGGAAACCTCTGAAAGTCTGTAGGTTGAATGCAGTTTTTTAATTGTGCTTCTAGATTGAATTTTTCTCTTGGTCTTTGCTTAGAGGCCATACAGTTCGAGGTTGTCAGTAGAACATCAGACAGTGTTGTGTACAACTAGATCTTTGCTCAGTTTTCAGCAGTCCTGAAAGTCTATCTTTGGAGGCTATTGGGAGGTTGCAAGAGAAGCTTCCATGTGGACTGTTTCCCTGGCAGCTCACTCACTGATTTCTAGAAGGCAATCTGAGAGCTGTCATTGGCCAACTGTCGCAACGCATAGCGTACCAGCAGTGACGGGATGGTGGAGGATGGATGGGGTTCAGGTGGTGGTCCTTTACGGCAAAGGGCAAGAAGGGCCGATATTCACAAACAAAGGCTCAGAGTCATAACCTCTTCCACGTAGTTGGCTGTCTCTCCTTGACTTTGAGCTAAAATTCCATACAAGTGTTTATAATTAATATGCAGAAGGCGGCTATGCAAAGCCTTCTCCTGAACGGAGGTGGTTGTGCTAATAGAATTGGGGACCCCTTAGAAATGTCTTCACATCCAGTTAATTGACACTCCTCTGTTGTGTAACACTCTGAACTTGACATTTATTGAATGTTCATAGTTAAGAGACCACAGTGGAGTACATTTGAAAAATTCCTGTCTTCCAGGGAGTTGCTTGGTTTGCACTGGCTCTTTTTCTAAGGGCAAGAGAGCTGTGAAATTGCATTTCCTCTCAGTATACAGTATTTTAAATTAGTTGGGGAGATAATGGAAGCAAAAAAGAAAATTGCATTTCCGTCACCCAGGTTCCATGCTCCTTGTAAGTTCCTTTTTTTTTTTTTTGCAAATATATTTATTAGGGTTTTATCATTAAAGCCTGTATCATACATATATAACCATTCAACAAGACTACATACAAATCACCTAAATTAATTTTCCCTTTTCCACCAACACAGAAGCCATCAATCAACTACATTAACATAAATATTTAACTTAATCTTGTTCTCAATCTTAACCTTTGATCTATACTGAGTCCAGAATATATACAGAATATACAGTCTTACGCCTATCTTTATTTGGCCCCGAGTTTACTTCCCACAAAATAATAATCTGTTTTAACAAACTTCCTCACAATCTACTTATTACTAGCTTTCCTAATACCACCCTACATCTTTAAATACATACATATTTAAATAAACATTATCCATTTAACTTTTATCAAAACCATTACGTTTTACACCTTTAATTTACTGATTTATTTCCCATTCAATAATTCATTTTTAGTTTTAATTCATTCTTAACCCTTATAATAGTCCCAATCAAATCATCAAAACACTAATCATTTTATGTTTCTTTTCTATCTAAACCCCAGTCCACTTTTCTACTTAACATGCCGTTATTTCCCCCTCCATATTTTATTTTTATTAATATTTTATTACAGTAAACCACTATCTGAGTTAATCATTCCAACCTAATATTCAAACAAGCACCTGAATAAAGTGTAGACTTGAGAAATAATATGCTCAATTAGATATATTCACAACGTCAATCATTCCATCTAGTCAAGTTCAGGGTATAAATCATTCTATCCTTCCATATAATTTAATCCTTCTCTTAAACATCAATAGTCTATTTTTCTGCTTCAGCATGTCCACATGTCTTCTTTCTTTGTGCTTTTCTTGGATCCCAAACTTCTCTTTGCTCTTTTTCAACCATTCTGTTTCCCCTCTTTTACTGTTCTCTTTGAATTTCCAAGCTCTCCTTTTCCATCTTTTCTTCTTTCCATCACTTTCACTCACTCTTTCGTTCTTCAACCTTCTTTTATTGCACTTTAATAATCCTAGTTTTACTCCTTTCGGTTTTCCTTTAAGTCTCTTTTCAACTCTTTCACTTGACAGATCTTCCTTAATTTGTACGAACCCCAGTCTTTCCTCCTTAAGGTCAACACAGTTCTCGTTTTGCAAACCTGCTTGCACCCCCTTCACAGTGGGCTGTTCCTCTTCCTCTACCTTTCGAGTTCCTATCTGGATGTTGTCCAATTTTTCTCCTATTTTTTTACATGCCTCTTTACATTATTTTTGGACCACATCTCTCAAGATACTTAACAGCTGTCCAATAGTCAATTCGCCCACCTCAGCATTTTCGTCATACTCCTGCTGCATTCCGTCTCCTCCACCATTTTCTTTAAACTCTCTTATTTCCTCACCCACACAAAGTTCTCACTATAATCCTTTAATCAATTTCTGCTCTGTATCTCTTTGCCAAAACCACAGTCTGTTACACACAAAAAAGAAAAAACCAACAGCTGCCGCTTTTCTTCCCCTCTTCAGATAGCAAAAACAAACTTACGTCCCTTATTTTCTCCCGGCCGTTGTTCACTCTTACACTTGGACTTTTCCGTTTGGGGATCTCCCTTAGGGCTCCAATAATAATAATTATTCAGTCTCCTTGTCCCGTGTTGCCGTATTTGTAGTCAACTCTCCTTTTTATTTAAAAACAAAGTCCGGAAGGCTGCGGCTTATCCGAACACGGCAGCCATGTTCGTCCCTTTCTCACCGTTCTGCATTGGGGCTGTTCCTGGTCACCCCCCCCGCTTTGCCAGGTGCGGGAGGGGCCAAAAAAGACGCCCCTTACTCAGCCCTCACTCCATGAAGGCTGTCCAAGTTCCCCCGACAAACGGGGGACCTGGTAGGGTCCGTAGAAAGGACGGGTGGCACGGAGCAAGCTGCACTCTACCCGTTGCCGCGCCATCCCCGCTCCTTGTAAGTTCCTTATGAAATGTCTGTAATTAAGGTGAACCAATTGTCTAAATTCTAGACAAGTGTCAAAAGGAAATGATCCATGTATTTCAGTTCTGCTTTTGGGATTTTCCCAGTATTAATGGATTATTTTGAAACTAAAGTTCAGTTCTAGCAGCAGGTACCAGCCATCCTTGTCAGAGACATTAACGGGGTGGTGGGGGGTGGTCAGTGGCATTTGAGTGCTTTACAGGGATTGGACAGTCCTGCAGGATTTGGGTGGCTGGAAGGGGGTGAGAAGCCATGTCAGGAGGACCTCTTCAGCTGCAGGTGCCTTTCCTGTGTAGCCTCCCATCCTTACCAACACAACTTGAGAACTCAGACCACTTGGCCTTCTGTCTCTGAGCAACACCCCTGGCTGTTACTGTCTGTTTTGATTAAATCATCCAATGAGAAGCAGCTAGAGTTTGTTTTATGCTTTCCCAAACAAGCACACCCCTTGCCGGGCCGGGCCCCCCCCCCCCCCGGTGTAATTATGGTCAGCCAAAAACTCATAGTCTTGAGCCTGCCAGAGAGTTTTGGGTGCCTCTGACCTCATTGTGGCAGACCTCCGCCCTTGGGGGGCTGCCCCCATTGGAGAGGCACCAGGGGAAAAGACTCAAACGTGGAACTGGCTGGTTCTTTTCCTGCTGCAGATCAGGCTGAAAGGTCAGTCCTGCGGGGAGGTGGCTCATCTGGCTAACCGCCTTCTCTCCGCGTGTGTTCCCGTCCGCCTCTGGCTGGCTGTCCTGTCCTGGTCTCCAGCAGGCTTGCCGTGCCTCCTGCCCTCCCCTGGCCAGAGAGTCTTGATCAGCTCTCAGCCTTTGCGTGGGTGAGGGAGGGTAAGGGTTGTGTGCTCGAAGGGGCCAGCCACCAGATTGCCCGCTGTCCTTCCCCTTGTGGGATCTTTGTAGCGTTTGAGCACTAAAACTGCTGTGGCTGCTTTTGTCCTCCTCTCTTTGTGTCGTTTGTGAAGTCTGTTGATTTCTTTGGCTTTTGTGCGTGGCAGTGACCTGTGCTGTGTTGCCTTTCTCCATGTTCTCCCTCTTTCCAAACTTTTATTCAGCATTCAGATGGACTGAGACAGTTTTACTTCCAGTTTACCCAAATCGAAAATGAGTAGACATGAGACTTTTTCAAATGCAGATTGTATCTGAAAGGAAACTTCAACAGTAAAATCGCAGGGGTGGCTGATCTCCCTGTCTAGTTAACAGATATAAGAAGCATCTCTGTCAGTTTTCAAATTATGGGATTACATTGTGTGGAATTACAATATAAACTATGTAGTACACACACACACACACACACACACACACACAAACAAGCACACACCTAAATAAATAAATAAATAAGGCTCAAAAATGCCTAGAAATATATTTGTTGGGTACGACTGGTTTCATTTCTCTTGGAAGACATTTAACAACGCTACCTGATTGCATGTTTAAAAATAAATAAAATTTAACTTTTCAGTCTTGAATAAGAAGATCTTGTCAATGTACTTTCTCTACTTCTGCAGTTTTAGTGAAATGATTTAAAGCTTGAGCTAATTTTGCACATATGCAGTGGCTTCTGTAAAATTATTTTCAGCATCTGCTTCTGTCAGAGGAAAATGAATGAGATAAGTCAGATGTAAGGCAGAGTCTGATCCAAGACTGAACATCTGTGCGAGTGGGAGCCCTTCCAGGCCGGCATTCTGGCCTATCTGCCTTTGCCAGCTGTGTCTGGAAGGAGGCCAGAGGCTCACCTGGGCTTTGCCTTGGCTTTCTGCTCTGCCTTGTCTCGGCGTCTGCATCTTACTACTGATGTCTGTGCTGTCTGTCCCCTCCCCTCTTCTCTAATCCTCCCCTCCCCTCTGTTCCTTTCCATTGCCACACTGACCCATCCATCGATCAACCAACCAACCAACAACGCTCCCTCTTTTGTCGTGGCGATCTGCTCTGCTGTGATTGGTGGCTCCGTTGCTTGGGTGGCTGTGTGTTGTGATGGGCCAGTTCACCCAAATATGGCCTTCTCGCTGACAGGTACCACTTCTGCGAGAGATGTTTCACTGAAATCCAGGGGGAAAACATTACCTTAGGGGATGACCCTGCCCAGCCACAAACGTAAGTAGTGCTGCTTTCTCTTAGTGCCGGGCTTAACTTTGTGAGATTAGTGGATTGAATTTAGGGCGTTTGTGTACCCTGCCTTTCTTCCAAGGCGGGTGAGCCCCTCCATTCTTGGCACCACGGGGACATAAAATGCAGCATGGAGGGTGAAGGGGAAAGACGCTGCTGCTCACTCGTCCTTAACAGTAACTCCCCCGGCGCATTCCTCTGTGTGGGGGGGAGGGGCTGCGTCCACTCCAAAAGGCCGTGGCTCATAGTCAGTTCCTTCTTGGGCAGCTTCCTCTCTTCCACCATGAGACCAGGAAGGTAAAAGGAAGGTTGCAAAGGAGTGGCCTGCGGCTGTCCTTCTGACACAACCTCTGACTACAAACCCAGTGGGTGGCCTCAGGCAAGTCACGTTGCTCACCCACTCCACGTTCTGGAAGGAGTAGACGGTGGCATCGGCTTGCCTTAAGCACTCAGCACGATACCAGTGGCACGGAGTATATTTCGTGCTTTGCATGGGAACTATGGTCACATGTTTTGCATACTGAGAATGATGTGGGCTGCCTGTTACTTGAGTCTCAGCCCCTCGCTAGAGTCTTTTAATTAATAGGCTTTTTGAGAGCACCTTTTTACGCTCCTTGGGATGCCCTGTTGTGCACTCGGGGAAGGAAATGTTCTCTTTTTTTAGGTTTAACTTAGCCAAACTGCGTCACCTAAAAGACTTTATTTTACTCCTTTGGTCTTCAGAACAATCTCGAAAGAGCAGTTTGAGAAGAAGAAAAATGACACACTAGATCCAGAGCCGTAAGTATTGAGCCCTCTCGGTGTAAGAAAAGACTGAAGTAATCTGGTAATGAGTGTGCTCAAGGGCTGGAGCATGTTTTTTTTTTTTTACATGGCCATGGGAATTCTTCACAAAGTGTTGATTGCAAGAGATGAGGGGCTACTTCTGCTTTGCTGGCTGACCTCTTTCAGACATGGTGTCTCTCAGGAGGCACCACCCAAAATGATGAGCGGCTTGACCACCTTACGGCAGCTCATAGTGAAAGAGGACAAGAGGAGCTCCTGCCTCCTGCTTCCTCCGTAGAGGCACCAAGAGCATCCTGCGTTCCAGCCGTGGTGGCTATCGTCCGTCCGTCCTTCCTTCCTTCCTTCCTTCCTTCCTTCCTTCCTTCCTTCCTTCCTTCCTTCCTGTGGCCCAGGCGGGGCTCCCACCTGATCCACGGCAATGGAGAGTCCCTGTGTCATGCTGGGCCTCGCTGCTCGAGTTGCCTTTGTTTCCTGCCCTGTCTAGGAGAAATGAGGAATCCCCCATTTCGGGCCACAGGAACCAGAGGAGTTGCAGCAGCGTACTGCATCTCCTGTCCTCCTCGCTCTCGCGTCTCTCCTGGGTGAGGCTGCCAGTGCCCTCTGCAGGGCTGCTCAGCACTCTCTGCCGTCCCTTCTGCCCTTCGTGTCTGAACACTGGCGATCGGGGACTGCAGTGCAGCGCCACAACCCTGTGGTGGTTGTGAGGTCCACTTTATGTGCACATTTAGGTGCTGCCAAATGTTTATTTTGTAATCAAAACCGTAAAGCATCCCATCCCTTCCAAGGTCAAAACCAGCTGTAATTTTCTGGTGGAGTTTCCAGTGGATGTCAGTGGGCAGTTATGTGTTCCCCAGGGAGCAAAGACAGGATCCAGAGGGATTCTGTAAAAGACGGCTGTCTGCTGACGGCCTTTCGCCGTCTCATAGCCAGTTTCATGTAAAAGAGCTGCTGGAGTCGACGCCTGCCGTCACCTGAAGGCGAGAGTGGCAGCGGCAGCACTCTTGGGTCACCTTAATTCCAGGCTCAGCCAGCCTCTTCTTTGCTCCAGCAAGGTCGTGCACTGAGCAGCTGCCACGCCAGGCGGGTAGCTTCCTCCGCCACAGAGGTTTCCCAGTCGTCATCCGCTTTGAAAGACCAGGAGTGACACAGTAATGTAAAGTCTGCTGCTGAAATCGCCGTCATTTCCCCCTGGTCATGGAACCATTGCCACCACGGAAGGGGTCTACCTGCTGATGAAGCTCATAGGTGTACATTTCCGTGGTACTCAGCTCATGCCCCTGCCCAGAAGCCTTCACTGAGCCTTGCTGTTTCACCTTGTTCCCTTGCTCAGGTTTGTGGATTGCAAAGAATGTGGCCGGAAGATGCATCAGATCTGCGTCTTGCATTATGATATCATTTGGCCTTCGGGGTAAGTCGCTTTGGAGAGCCTTAGCTATTATGGTGGTGATTTTATGTAGAGGTGCAGATGATTTGGGACATGAATGCCTTTGTTCTCGAGTAATGTGTTGGATCCCAAGCATTCAAAACAACTTCACGTTGAAAAGCAAGCAAGGTTTATTTCAAAGCGTTGATTTAACCAGAACAGGACATTGTTAGGAATAACTACAGGTAACCAGGGAAGGCATAATATAGACATTTGAACCAGGTAAGGACCAATGAGTCCAGTTCCCACTGGCGGGAATAGACCATACAGTTCGCGCCCATTGCATGGGAACGCAACAGTTCTATAATGTCAACACAGGTTCAGTTCACATGCGAGATACCCAAAACATTCTAGGCGAAGCTCTCCCCCTACAACCAGCTGCACGACCTTGGCAAGTTCCGCGGACTACATAACATAACTCAAGCAAACAAGGAATGAGAGGGAGGGGGTGAAGGATACTACACAGGAACCGGAATGACAATGGCAGCTAGCTGACATAATGTGAGTGAAGACTGGAAGCAGAACCATGCACAGCTAATGGAGGCATGACAGTAACACAGTCATCTGGTTCCACTTGCTAGAGCTGTGAGAGAGAGATCCCGTCTTGATCAAGGGTCTGTTGGGACTGGCAATTCAGTTTTTCCTTATTTTTTAAAATCCAAATGCTTGCCTTCAGAGCTCAGCAGCCTGTTTTCGCATCATTCAGTCCATGCTTTTTTTCGAGAATTGGTTCCTGACCGGAGCAGTTCAAAAATATCAAATGCCCTTTGCAAAAGCCGAAACACAGTGGGAATATTTGGGATCTGAAAGCATCAACCATGGCTGGTTCTTTGCCACTTCAGATCTCATTGTGCTCCACAGCTGGAAGGCTCTGTCTGCTGCCAGTGGAATGGAATCTGCAGATCCCATCAGAAGGCATTAAACTCTTTCATCCGTGTTAACCTGTGGATGGGTGCTTAGTCCAGAGCTAAGACCACTCGCTAGTCCGTCACGGTTTGCTCCTCTGACTGGGGCCCCACTGCATGCCTGGGAATGGCAAGGAGTCTGAACTGGCCCCAGAGCTCCAGGCGTTTCTGCCAGTCCCACTGCTTCAGAACAAGCCTGCTAAGAGAAGGCATGCATTTGCAAAGGGCCTCAGCTTCAGTTCCCAGCATTTCTAGTAAGACCAGGAGCAAATGTTTGTTAGACCTGATTCTGCCTGAGGCCCTAGAGAGAGGGGGGCCAAAGGTTAAATGAAGAAGAAGAGATTGGATGTATACCTCGCCCTTCACTCGGAGTCTCAGAGTGGCTGACAAACTCCTTTCCCTTCCCCTCTCCACCACAGACACCCTGTGACGCAGGTGGGGCTGAGAGAGCTCTGACTGAAATTGCTCTTTTCAAGAACGCCTCTGATAGAACAATGGCTTGCCCAAGGTCATCCAGCAGCTGTGAGTGGGGAATCAGACCCAGTTCTCCCAGATTAGAGTCCGCACACTTAACCACTACACCAAACCACTACACCAAAATGCATTTTCCTCTGTTCATAAGAGGAAGTTCCAGGGGGGAGAGGACTGCTTTTGGGTACGCAGTTCACCGTCAAGCTTAGGAGACCATCCCAGGAGTGGGGAAGGCCACGTTCAAGGCAATCCCTAAAAGGCAGGACTTCCCCTTCGTTCCCAGTGGTCGTCTTCCTCCAGATCAAAGGGGCTGGGGGTCTTTGAAGAGTACCCAAGAGTCAGAAAAGCAGCTGCCACCTCACAGGCCCCTTCTCTTCACACTGCCAGGGCAGCGAGCACTCTTCTAACGCTTCTGGGAACGGAACATCCCCCCCCCCCATTGTACTTCAGCCAAGCATTGTTATACACAGGAGAGCTGCAGCAGGAAATGTGTTTGCTTTCCTCTCCAGCCCCTTCTCCTCAGACCACAGTGAATCTCTGGGTTTCTTGGAACAGGTCCAGTGAGCCTCTAGGAAGCGGCTCCTTCTCCACCAAGACGACTCCGTCTGGCCAATCTAATGCTGCCTTCGCCGTAGGACCAGGCCCCTTAAGTAGGGCAAGCGGATCCTCTTGTGTGAACTGCCAAGATGTCACTGATGGACATCAGCGATTTCAGGGATCATGTGAGCTTTAATGCCGGAAGGATCCCGGGGCCCAGGGGCAGGAGGAGAGCCAATGTCATCTGGCCTCTTCACTGTGCAAGAGGGAGACTGAAACATGGTCAGTCACCCCCAAACTCCGTAGAGCCCTCTCTTTGGCGAGAGTCAATATGTATTACCTTCGGCCTTCTTATCTGGCCGCTTTCAGGGTGTGCCCTTTTCTGACAGATGTTGCCCATGTACAAATGATAATATCAAAACAATTTCCCTTGTCTTGTTTCAGTGCCCCTTCTACCATGTGCTACGACTGAAATTTCTAAATTTTACTTTGGCTCAACTAGAAGAATATCCTGATTGCCTAAAGATCCTTATTCTTCTTGATAATCCAAACTTTGAGATAATGGAAACTGTTGCTTTTTGGTGCCATTTCTATTTGCCCTTTATTTAACTGATGGGTATACTTACTTGGTAATTCCTTGTTTCTGTATTTTGCAGATATTATTCTATGCTGTGGTTGTTGGGTGTTTTTGTTTTTGTTTTTTTGTATATGGGTTTGCAAGGGTTACATGCCAATAAAGGTAACTGGACTGGACTGGTTTTGAACAAGAACATGGTCGGTGAGGGAGCCTGCCATTTTGTCGTAGGGATGGGCCCATATCCCACAAGAATTAAGTTGTATAACCTTTCCAGATTAGCATGTTCACATGCACAAACTTTTGTGTTTTAGCTTTGTTTGTGACAACTGCCTGAAGAAAACGGGGCGAACACGCAAAGAAAACAAATTCAGCGCCAAGAGTAAGTTTTCAGCCTCTTTCATCATGTGTCAACATCCTTCTAAAATAACTCCCAAGCATATCAGATTTTGCTCTTTTCCACTAATCCTCTGTTTAGACTAGAGAAGTTGGGGGGGGGGGGTTTGCTACATTTGTCTGGTTGCAAGTAGATAAATAGGTACCACTTCGATGGGAAGGTGACAACGTTTCGTTCGCCTCAGCGTTTAGTCATGGCGGCCACATGACCACGGAAACGTCTTCGGACAGTGCTGGCTCTTTGGCTTGGAAATGGAGATGAGCAGTGCCCCCTAGAGTCAGGTTTGACCAGCTTTCGAGCAGCATAAAAGGACTGGAACCGCGAGAGCAAAAAAGATCATCTGCAGCGTCATTGGATGTGAGGGGGGAGGTGATAGAGGTTTATGAAACGTGTCGGGTAGAGAAAGTGGATAGAGGGGGGGGTGTTTTCTTCCTCTCCTGTAAAAACTCTCCCATGTTTATGTGTTTTTAATTGAATTTTCATAATTTTATTTGTTTAAATGTTTTTATGTTTGCTGCCCTGTGGACGGACCCTGTTTGTGTGGAAAGGCAGCATAAAAATGTTTGAAATAAAATAAGTAAAACTAGAATTTGAGAACACCCAGTTAAGTTAATGAGGAGTAGATTAGGGCAGACAGAAGGAAACACTTCTTTAATCAGCAGAACTCTGGAACTCACTGCCAGCAGGCATCGCGATGGCCATGAGCACAGAGGAGGGTAAAAGTGGGGTGAGGCAATTTCATGGAGGAAAGGACCTCCTCCCCGGGAATCCCAAGGGGGGAGGGGGAGGAGGCATCGCTGGGGGGAGGCTACTTGGCCACCCTGGAGCAGGACGCTGGGCTCGGTGGTGTCAGGTTCCACAGCAAGTAACTCTTCACACACGTTTCCTAAGAAGTGTTATGCTTTATTAGTGTACAGGACTGGTACCATGTCCACAGGATTATTGTTAGGAATAACTAGGAGGCGGGAACATCCCAATCCATACAGCTGGGCAAGGCCACTAGCTAAGCAAATGAACTTCGAGCGCGCATGTGCGCGCGTGAAGACTCCTGGTGGGAGATTACAGATATGAGCGGGAGAGTCGCGGGATATCCTGAGAGCAGAAAGATTCACACCAGCTGTGGACCCCCGCAAGCCCTCCCTACCTCACAAGGCCAGACTGATAATGGGCGTCTGGCTCCCACGGCCTCCCTGGCACCACGTTTACTGCCAGCTGCTGAGCTGCAAGCAGGCGGGAACAGGGAAGGGCAGAGGATACACATATAGGTGGCAGCCGGCTGACAGGTGGGCCACAGTGGGCCTAACCCAGTGGGGCTTTCCTGGGTCAGTGGCTGCCGTTCACAGGACTCTCCATGGCAGTAAGAGGGGGGGGGGGGATGTGACTGTTGTGCATTGCATCAGGACAGAGGGAACTCTCCGCTTTTACTGACATCACGGTGCCAGAAGAGTTTGCACATGTTGCAGTCTTCGGGTCCTGGCATGTACGTTTTCAGTTTGCCCACAAGGGCTTCCTGTTTCGCCCTGTTCAGCTGTCCTGAGCATCAGCTTTTTGCAAGGTGGCCACAGCCAGTCTTAATCATCTTGACCTGGAAACCTACTTCCGTGGGTCTCAGTCAGTCTTACTTTCAAGAAAACATGCCTAGGATTTTAGTCTTTCTTTATTTTCATGTCCAGTGTCAACGCTGAAAGTGCCCAGGCTGCTTCTGGGGAAAGCTGAGGTGGGAAGAACTCTTGGTATTGCCTTGCTGTTATTTCCAGTTAATTCTTCAACCTTTTCTCTTCTTAGGGTTACAGACCACTCGCTTGGGAAACCATTTGGAAGATAGGGTAAACAAATTTTTGCGGCGGCAGAACCACCCAGAAGCGGGGGAAGTCTTTGTGAGAGTAGTAGCCAGTTCAGATAAAACAGTGGAAGTGAAACCAGGAATGAAATCGAGGTTAGTTTTGCTGTCCTGTCCTTGCTAGTCCTATGCATTTAGCACACAGTTTTGGCAACTGACCTGTCTGTTTATTTAAAACGTCCACAGCCCCAACTGTCTCCCAGGCAACTGCCAGGTCCCTTGGCAGTGTGCCATTGGCACTTTGGGTGTGTGGAGTGTCAAAATGGAAGCAGAAGACTGTGTTGTTGTGCATGAAAGCAGGCCAGAGGATTGAGCAGTCTTCTGCTTGGGAAATTTTTCCAAACTTATGGAAGCTAATAAAAATCCACACAGTAAATATAATGCATAATCTGTTTAGAAGCCATTCTTCCCAGATTATCAACTTCTGGAGTCATATATCGTGCCAGTATGGGCATATCGTGGTGGTGGTGGTTCTCCTTGTGAAGAAGCACCGATGACAACTTTTCTTTACCACCCAAAAGATCTTTATGTGTAAAATACTGTTATCCCTGCTACACAAGACACCATGCTACCATCTAAATGAATTCCAGAGACTCTGCCCATACTTGCAAAAGTTGAAGAAAATGTCATCAGTTGCTCTGTTTCAGTTGTTCCTATTTATTCAGACAATTATTTCCAAGTGTTTAACCTGTTCAGGCCAATATCGTATATTTTTGCCATCATTAGACCGTCAGATTATCCTCTGGAAGTGTTTCATATACTAATAATAACCCTGGGAACACCAAACCTTTCTCTTCCTTTGCAATATATTGATTTAAAGACATTTTTAGTCCGTGTTTCTCCTAAGAAAGACTGAAGGCAGGGAACACTGATAACCAACAGCAATACAAACCACTTCCAAAGCAAATAAAGCACCAGCTGTTGTCAAAAAATACACTGTTCAGTGTTGTGAGCACTGCAGTGTTGTGAGCCCTGCAGCCTTAACATGAGTTCCTAAAAGATACTCCGGAGGGCCGCTCCATCGTGTGGCATATACTGGAATGTGACATATATTAGCTTGAAAACACAAGTGTTTTGATGATCAGAGAAACATGGCCTTATGATACCCACTCTTCTTGGTTTCTTTGCCTTCCTTTGAAGCAGATTCAGTATAATTCCTGTGTCCATGTGTCTGTTAAGTCTGTCAGAAACCAGAGCTAAAACAGAGTCAAATGATTTATAAAATTTAGGTGGTTAGGGGTTTTTTTGTTTCTTAATTTGCCTGAGAGTTTCCTGACCTGCGATGGGTTGAATTCATTGTGTGTTATTGTCTGTAAATTGGGAGGGGGTGTTGTCCTGCTAAAAATTGTCCTTAGAATTCAGAGAGAGTAAAGAAACAAAACATTAATGCAGTATTTAGTCTTTTGTTGTTGTTGTTGTTATTCCTCCATCGACCTTCTGTGCAGGCACACGTGGGGAGCTGAAAGCCTCCCGGGGCCGCCAGGGATTCGTTCCCGCCCAGAGTGGGGGAACCCCCCCCGGGTGCTTCTGCGCAGCAGCGCCCCCTCCCTCAGTTCCTCTTTGGCCACCAAAGGGAGAAGGCTGTCGTTTGTGGAGCTACAGTTTTCTCAGCATGGGTGAGGAATAGCTTCACTGGGATTGTTCTGGCTTCTGAGTTTGTACCATGGCTCAGAAAGCCCTTTTCAAAAAAATGCACCGGTGGTGGGGGAAGATGACCCAAACTGACAAACTATGTCTGTTTTGTTTGGGTGAACGGCACAATGTCCCCACACGTTAGGCCTGCCAGCGCTTCACCCTCAAAGCTCGGAGGGACACGGCGTCAAAACTTAAAGCAGCATTGTGGAGAAAGCCTTCAAACCGTTGGTGCTGTTGTCCAAGTCGGACCCAGAAAAATTGGCCATTGCCACGTCCTCAGAATCGACACAGTCAGCTCCGCCTCCTGGATCCATGTCGCAGTGGGTCCGAACCAGGCCGCACTCCCCTCAAGCTTATTGCGCCTCTTCTGAGCCACCAGCTAGGAGGGCAAAGACCAAGGACGGGGGCAAAGGCAAACCTGCATCTCAACAACGTGCTCCTGTCCGCACTCCTGAGCCTACTCCCATTCTTCAGGAGACGCCTAGGAGTCAGTCCCCGGGTCCACGGTCCCTTCCGGTTTCGATCTCAGATGGGGAAATAGAAGCTCTTGCCTTTCCTGGAGCTTCTGCCCGAAGACAAGCAGCTCCTTGCTAAGGTCTTGCACACAGAGGCCATCAGACTCTTGAAGCCGTAGATCAATGCAGTTCAACACTCCACGGATTCTGCATCATACCTAGATACCACACTTGGTTAAGATCAACGGCATTGCCCGTAGACACCAAGCACAAGAGGCTGAGGACTTACCTTTCGAGGCTCGACACTCTTCTCTACCAGGACTGGCGAGACGCTGCCCCTGATAAAGGAAAACAAGCAGACGGCTAAATCACTGGGGGTGTCACAACCTGCCCCCTCCCCATTCCAGCAGAGGCCGTTTGTACAGCAGCCCTGAAGGATCCTTTGGGGGCCCAGTAGCCTACCTCTTAACTGCCCCACAACAGGGTTACAGGTGTAAAGGTTCCAGCCAGCACACCCACTGCTCCCTCCTAGAGAGGCAGCCCCATCCCAAAAATCTTCCTTCTGAGTAGGATTGGTTTCTGCGCCTGTTAAGTTTGGAGGCAGGCTAGCTCAGTTTTACGCTGCCAGGGAGGCTGTTACTGCCAATACGTGGGTTTTCTCCATAGTTAGACTAGGTTACATACGTGGCCCCTACAGCTCTGGTCTCTGTCCTCTTTCGGAGTGCGTCTACGTGCCCAGTGGCATAGATTCTTCTATTCCCAGCCCTGTTGTCCTTTCTTTGTTACGGTGGCTCTCTCGTGACAATTTATCCCAGGGCCTCTCCTTTGGAGTCCCTGAGCATGAAGTCGTCCTTACTACAGACACTTCACTCTTGGGGTGGGGCGCCCACTGTGAGAGGTGGTCTGCACCGGGTACGTGGTCAGAAGACGAGAGGCAGCTTCGTATTAATCTGCTGGAGCTGCGGGGAGTTTCTAATGCCCTCAGCTGTTTCGCAGATGTCCTGCAGAACGGGTCCATGCTTGTCCAAACAGACAACACTGTTGCAACGCTTTATTTAAACCCGCAAGGGGGCCCAGGAGGCTCCCCTGACCTGGCCCGTGGCACTGAAGCGCAGTGCTTCCATCTGGCCCATCCGTATTCCTGGGAGCTTAAATAAATAAGGAGGCCGACTGGTTGAGGAGAGTGGGGAGGCTCTCTCGCAAATGGCGCATAAAGACCATGTACCTGGAACCGATCTTCACCCTCTGGGGAGTCCCAGAGGTCGAGCTTTTTGTGACGAGGGAAAACACAAAGGCTGCGAGATTTCACTCTCGAGCAGGGAATGGAATAGGTTCCCTTGGGGGGGGGGTGCATTCCAGGTGCGCTGGGAGGGAGGGGGCTCTTTTCTAAGCGTTCCCTCCGTTTCTGTTCTCCCTCTGAGGTGGAGGACATCTTGTGGGTGATTCCCATCCATCACTTAGGGAGGCAGGACTAATTCCAATTACTTCCTTTTTCCTGTAGTGGGAGTCACCCTAGGCTCAGTTCTTTTCCTGCCTCAGAAGGGAGAGCAGCTAGGTGTAGGCTCTGCCTAACCCTATCTTTCTGAGTTAACTTACTTTCACTTTCTCCTTCCATCTTTGCTGTTCCCTCTCTCTGAAGAAACTTAAGAAAAATCAAATCCTTTTCTTCTTCCTTCCTATATATTATCTTCCCCCCCCCCCCCTTTGGAGGTTGAGCTGCCGGGCCGGTTGCTCTCTTAATGGGAGGGGGATCTCACAGACTGCCTTCCATGGCATTAAGAGAGGATAGCAATGGATTTCTCTCCACTCCGGAGATAGAGGCTGTGGCGGTGGCCGACGCTCAACCAGCAGAGTAAGGCAAGGATGGCATTCCAAGGCGCGCCAAACAGCTGCACACCCCTGCAGCATTTACGGAGCCCACACCAGCCTCAGCAGCCACTTTGGAGTCCACTGGCCGCTCTATGCTTAAAGACGGGAATGGCGAGCAGAGCCTAATC